TCCATGAACATGGAGTGTCTTTCCATTTATTTTGATCTTCTCTAATCTCTTTCAACAATGTTTCATAGTTTTCAGTGTAAAAGTTTTGCACTTCTTTTGTTAAATTATTCCTGTTTTTTTTTTCTTTTTGATGCTATTGTAAATGGAACTGCTTGCTTGCTTGCCTTCTTTCTTCCTTCCTTCCTTCCTTTCTTTTTTTTTTTTTTTTTTTTGAGACAGAGTCTCGCTCTGTTGCCCAGGCTGGAGTGCAGTGGTGCGGTCTCAGCTCACTGCAATCTCTGCCTCCCAGGTTCAAGCAATTCTCCTGCCTCAGCCTCCTGAGTAGCTGGGACTACAGGTGCGTGCCACTACGCCTGGCTAAGTTTTTGTATTTTTAGTAGAGGTAGGGTTTCACCGTGTTAGCCAGGATGGTCTCGATCTCCTGACCTCATGATCCACCTGCCTTAGCCTCCCAAAGTGCTGGAATTTCAGGAGTGAGCCACCGCGGCTGGCCAGAACTGTTTTCTTAATAACATTTTAGGATTGTTCATTTGATCTCGTGTTTTAACCTTGTATCCTGCAACTTTCCTGAATTCATCCAGGCAGGTAGTTGTGAGCAACATGAGAAGAGCAAGAATATGCCTGGGATAAGGAGAAAATGAATCGAGTAGATCAGGACTATAATAATGGTTACCACGTACTGAATATGTTTTCAACAAGTCAGTACTTTCCACGCTCTAATATGTTCATGAATCTCCTGGAAGTCTAGTTAAAATTCAGACTGCTATCACTGGATTTGGGGTGGGCCTGGGATTCTGCCTAATAACTTATTGGATTGTTAGTGGCTTTTATTTATTATTTTCAAGTTACAATAACTCTGCAAGCAAAATAATACTGTTCCCATTTTACAGATAAGAAAATGACCTCAGAAGTTGAGCTAGTAGCCCAGGTTCATTGGATAAGTGGCAGAACCAGGATTTGAACACAGTTCATTCTAATGCCAAAGCTGGACTCTTTCTATTCTACCACACTGGATATCTTGAGTAGGAGGAGGATAGTTGGAATGTGAACAGAATATGGATCAGGAAAAAAGAAAGCTTTTCAATGTCAGAGTTGCTACCTGGAATACATTTGAGTCTAATCTTTGAGGTTGCCTTGGAGAGCAGATCAGCAAGGCCCTTGCTTTCCAGGGAGCCAAGCGTGAAGGTGTGAGATTGGACTATCAGCTAGAAGTAAGATGAAACTACTAGATAGAATTCAAGATTGGAAGAAGTCTAGAAAGAACATGGCTTACCTTCGATCAGGCTAGACTCCAGAACTGGACTCTGTATACTGCTTAGGTCTATACCTGAGATTACACCCATTGTTGACTTTTTCTGCATTCTTAACAGGGGGTTAGACTGGTTGTGATGTTGTCACTGAGTAACCAGAGAGGAAGAAATATATCCGTAAGCTAAAGGGCAGAGCTGTGATCCTGAGGTCCTTCTAAGTAGAAAAATACCATGTTTCAATACTGTGATAAAACAACAGAAATATCCAATGGCTTGAACTCTGTGCCCTCTACTCAGGATGCTCTTGAAATAGATGTCTAAAAGCTGGTCGCCTAAAAAGGCTATGGCAGATTCTGCTATTTAATTGGGGATGATGAATGGTACAGCATCAATACCATCCCTTAGAGGCCAGGGACAGGGTTTAGGGATGTGGGTAATGGTCTGGTCATATGTTTATCTGTGAAGGACTATGGATAGGTGACCAAATTCCTTTCCAGTATTTTTCAGCAGAATCTTTAGACTTCCATCACCTGAGTCAAAACACAGGATATATATTTTTTTGTCCTTAGCACCTTTTATTGAAATATGACCCTTGATGACAATCTGGCAGGCATATCTATGTCAGCCAAGAAGGGAGTGGTGGAGGACACAAATGCAGAAACAATAAGATTCGGAAAAAGAATAGCTTCACATGGGATAGATGACCCCCAACAGCTGTACAACCAACATTGGTTCTTCATCTATAGAAACTGCCCCCGTCCCACCCCCCACAAAAGATCTACTAATCTTCAAATAATATAATATGCTGTTGCAGAAATATTATTGGCATAGACAACTCCTCTGGCAAAGACAGTGGGAGTCACCAAGCTCCAAATGGGTGCAAGTGGCCAGAAATGGGCCCAGGTTCCTCCATCTGGGGCCTGCTACTGGCAGAGCAGCACTGTCAGGGAGGGTTGGGTTCAGGATGTGGCTCTGGTGTGCCTGGGCAGCTTTTTGGCACACGAGGTTAAATGGAAAACAGAACCTGAACCTAACCTTGAAAGAGGCTTTTTATCTTTTCACCTCTCCTTTTCTCTGCTTCCAATTTCTTCCTTTCTAGGGCTTTATTTTCAGTGTCTCTGTCTTATTCTGTCAGATTCTACTTGGGCATTTACGACTATATCCTGGCTGAGTCTCCAGCTGTGGAACTCAGGGAGATTCAATTATCCAGAGCCCCGGGAGGTGGCAGGAGGGGTTGGGGGGACATGTGATAGTAACTCACGCATTGACTTCTCTATCGATCAACCATCATGCTTGCCTATTACCCATGGGACCTATATAAGTATTTGAAGGGAAAGAGCAGAAGTCAAGACCAATAACTGTCTTTGGGGACCTCCCTTGGCCTGCCTTCCAAACTGCTACTCACCGGCAGGCCGTGGAGGAGGGCTGAGCCCAGGAACTGAGAACAGGGGAGAGACACTGCATCTCAAATAATACTGGCAGCTTTGCAGCACTATCACACACAATGAGATTGCCCTGACAGGAGTGTGGCACGCCAGTGTCTGTTTAGCAGTTCACCTTTATCTACCAAGCTTCACTGCAAGGTATACTTTTGGGGTTATTTTTTAAGTGCTTTGGCAACTTTCCCTCCATGTGAAAATGAGCATCCTTGTGTTCTGATTCCAACTCTAGAAAGTAATTTGAGATGGAATTAAGAACAAAAATAATAGAGTTAATAGTTTTTTTTTTGTCGTTTTTGTTTTTTTGAGACGAAGTCTCACTCTTGTCCCCCAGACTAGAGTGCAATTGCATGATCTCGGCTCACTGCAACCTCTGCCTCCCGGGTTCAAGCGATTCTCCTGCCTCAGCCTCCCGAGTAGCTGGGATTACAGGTGCCTGCCAGCACGCCTGGCTTATTTTTGTATTTTTAGTAGAGACGGGGTTTCACCGTGTTGGTCAGGCTGGTCTCGATCTCCTGACCTGGTGATCTGCCCGCCTCAGCCTCCCAAAGTGCTGGGATTACAGGCGTGAGCCACCGCACCCGGCCTGGAGTTAATAGTATTTTTGGTGTCATAAACTTAAGGTGCAACCAATCACATGCTGACCAGAAAAACTCAGACTACGGCCATAGTGTCCAGGTAAGTGACCATTCTTTTCCCTAGGCCCATATTCCCAAAAAGGTGTTCTAGCCAACAAATCGGAAGATGATGAAACATATCAGCCTCATCCTCCCAATAGAGGACATCTCAATTTGCTCATTCTTTGTCCTAGAGCCTGCTCAGAAGAAAAGATGACAACTATGGCCTCCATTGAAAGCACTCCTCTGCCTTCTCAATCTTGGCTGGCTTGTGTAAGCCTCGCCCTTGCAAGCCACCAGCCTTCCTGAATAAAGTAGAATCTTCCACTGGAGGGGAGAATGGCAGGGTTGCCATTCTAACAGTGTTTCTGGCAGCAGTACTAAGAGCAAACCCAGGGCTCCACAGAAAGGCTTACTTACCCCACCCCCCACCCCAGGACACCCTGCTGGCCAAGATTCTCCCATTGTTTTCAAACACAATGAAGAGGAAATGGAAGCTAATGACAAGTATTTGTAACAGCAGCAAAAGTTCCTTGGCAAATTCTTTGGTTGAATGAGACATCCCTGCTGCTACAGTTGACCTTCAAGGACCCTGAGGAACTCAGCAGTAACTAGAAGGGATGCCAGGCCTTGGCTAGGTTGTGTGATACCAAGGATTGGCCCCAGTTAGTGAGGAACAGGGAGATGAGCTGGATAACAGGGCAGCATTTGGCCATAACCCCCTTCTTGCTATCATCCACCTAAGGGCTGCTTTTCCAGCACAGAAACTAGCTACTGGTGTCAAGGCCTTGGCAACAGCAGCAGTTTTAGTTGTTTGTATGCCTAAGATCCTGGCTGGGTCATCAGTTGCTCTGGGGAGCTGGCTCTGGCTGGAGCTCCCAGCTACCTTGAGTTTTGGTTCCCTTGAGCCAGGCCACAGGCTGAGAAAGCAATGGTTAGAGGAGTTCCTCCTGAGCTCACCTCTACTCATCCCATAGCTTGGAGATGGTAGAGAAATGGCTGAATCTTTCTCCATTTCAGGAGATTTCTTTGGTTTCAAAAAGAAATCAGTAAGAAAAACTTGAACCCTGCTGGGGAATGCTAAACTCACAGTCACTTAGACTTTAAAGGAAGCACAAGACCAGGCCACAGTAGGGAGGCTCTGAGTTCAAGGGGAGAACTCCTTCCTAGACATTGGTGGCTATGGTGGGAACAATTCAATGCCTTGGCACTTGCTTACCTAGCCACGGTGGATTCAGGCTGATCTGCAGAAAATGCTTTCCTTCTGGGCTAACTTTTCCCTCTCCAACTCCCCTCTTCTCGCCTTATTAGTTAAAAAAGAAAAAAAATAATCAAAACACAAAAATAAATAAAATCAAAAGGCCATTTAAAATATAACAATAAGAACCCCCTCCCCCAATAATGAAACCTATATCTAGAAGTCAATTTTAGTAGAGCTATTAATGGCCCATATGGTGAAGCCCTGGGGTAGGCACCTGGGCTAACCCCCAGCAATGTAAAGGAAAGATGAAACAAGAGGTGGTAGGACCAAAGTCTTAGGACAGGAAGAGGGTAACATTAGCCAGGGCTAAGACTAGGCCTCTTCCCCTGAACTTGCTGCTGGGAAAGGTAAGGGTAGAGCTGATTTAAAACTGGTTCCTTCCTAAGGAGCACCTGGGGGTACTCAACCTTTGCTTTGTTTTTTCAGTGTAATTCCTCCCTCTGTGCTTTCCCCTGCAAAGCTTGGGTGAGGCCCTGAAACTGGTGCCAGGTGAATGCCCTTAAGGCAGCCAGCTCTCCGTGAGAAATGGCTGGGCCACAAGCCCTGGGGCAGAGTAGAGCTGCAAGGCAGCTTCCCTTTGAGCCTTTAGAGGCTGTTGATGATATGGGTGGGTGATGAGCACTTGGTGTCTTTGGTGTCCTAGTACAAAGCAGAATGAAGGCACTTCCTTGGTTCTCTGTGCAGCAAGTACTTGCCCTTGGCAACTGTGGGAAGGAGAGTGTGGTTGTAAGATCACACCTTGCTGCAGCTCCCTTGGGTAGAAGCTTGTGGCTTCCCCAGGGTCTCCTAGCTGGTTAGGACCACTGCTAGGGAAGGGGCAGTGAGAGACATCCAGGGTAGAGGGCTGGAACAAACTGCTAATTGCTATCTACTTGCTGAGAAACTGCTAACAAAGATTGAAAGCACTTCCCACTGTGGCTGGGCAGGGATGCTGTGGCAGAGTGCTGGTAGAATTAGAAATTGCTGGGCCCCAGGAGTAGACTCTCCCTGAGACATTTGAGCTGCTCTTCCCCAAGCTTGATCTTCTCCTCCAGCTCTCGCTGTTCAATGATGAGAGCAGATTTCATCTTGACAAAGTGCTGGTAATCTTGGAGCTGGTCCTGAGGCAGGTAGCGGGAGACCATGCCAAACACCAACTTCTCCCGGCGGTCCACGTGCTCCTTCAGCTCCTTGGCATCTGCCAACTGCCCCGTCAGCTGCTGCTTCTTCTCTATCAGCACCAACTGGGGAAGCAGAGGACCAATTAAGGGCTCTCCCAATTACCAGACATCTGTCCAACAGTGCTGCCTAGCAGTACTCCACCAGAGATGCTGCCACAAAGCGGCTATACATTCTGCTAATTAGTCAGTCCTAGATTTTCTGCCCTGAAGTTCACCTCCATGCAAAAGCCTTTGCTTCCTGTAGCAGGAGGGTAAACATGACAATTCTGGATAGGGGATGTGAAATCACCTCTTTCCATCCCTTTAAGGCTGTCTTCAATGTAGGGACCACCACTGGGCTTGGGGTAGAGGAAGGCTCTGACAAAGCCAGCCTGTGTCCCTTTCATCTGGTGAACAACTGTCACTGTGGAGGTACTTTCTGTATGGTGCGTGTGTCTGTGTGAGTGGATATGTGTGAGTATATGTGTCCATGTATGTATATATATGTATGTGGATATGTGCCTCTTGTTGTGGATTCAAAGGTATATCCAGAGCCACTTGCATAGGGAAAGGTGAGGCAATTTTGTTTCAGGAGTATATGCATAGTGACCCAACCTGTGAAACTGACAGCTTTCCAATCTCAACTACTTGATGAGACCTCCCCCTCCAACTCTAGAGTGAGGCAAAACTGCTGCTGCTACTACTACTACTGGGAGTTAGCATTGATTCAGTGTTTACCCTGTCCCAGGCCCTGTTTTATGTAATTAACATAAACTAATTTAATTCTCACAATAATCCCATAAGGCAGGTAGTATGTTCACCTCATTTTATAGATGAAGAGATTGAGGCAGAGTGACATTACGTGAATTGTCCACAGTCATACAGCTAATAAATGGTAGGGCAAGAATTTCAGGGCACTTAAAAGCCAGTGTTCACACTCGTGTTTTTTCTTTTCTTTTCTTTTTTTTTTTTTTGAGACAGGGTCTTGCTCTGTCACCCAGGCTGGAGTGCAGTGGCACAATCTTTGCTCACGGCAGCCTCCGCCTCCCAGGCTCAAGCAAGCCTTCCACCTCAGCCTCCGGAGTAGCTGGGATTATAGGCATGCACCACCATGTCAGGCTAATTTCTGTATTTTTAGTAGAGATGGGGATTCACTAAGTTGCCCAGGTTGGTCTCAAACTCCTGGACTGAAGCAACCTGCCTGCTTTGGCTTCCCAAAGTGCTGGGATTATAGGCATGAGCCACCGTGCCCCTCCTCAGTGCTCACACGCTTTTAACCCTATGTTCTACTGTTTCCCATAGTAGCCCAACTTGAAAGAGGGAGCCTTGAGAAGAAATAAATGGCATTTCCCTCTACCCACACCCCAGAGACCCCAACTCTACCTTCTCCTGGTTGGCTTCTGAATCGATGCTGTTGAGAGCATTCTCCACCCGGGCCAGTCGTCCAGAGAGTGACAGCAACAGGTTGACCACTTTGTCCAGGTCCCCAACAAACGAGCGGTACTTTTCAAATTCATTGGATTTGCAGACGGCTTTTAAGTTGGCCTCCACCTCCTCCCCAAGGGCAGAATTGGCATTGATGTCCTCTAGCAGCCCTCGCTGGGCCTCCCGCAAGACAGAAAGTTTTCTGCTGATGCTTTCAATAAGCTGTATCTAGGGGAATTAAATAGAAGACAAAGGATGAGAATGGAAATCAACAGAAACTGATTTGTGCCTGTAACCTCTGTTTTGGAATCCAAGGAACAGATGGTGGGCTCTATCCTAGTCACTGGAAACAAAGGAAACTTGGGCAAGTCATGAGCAACTCGTCTTTTGGGCAAGCGCCTTCTATCCATCTGGTAGGGATCTCCATGTCACCACCAAACTTTTTGGCATTGGGTAAGTGGTACCCATGCACTAAGCTTCATTTACCAAATGCAACTTAATAAATACTTGCTGGGACTTTTTTTTTTTTTTTTTTTTTGAGATGGAGTCTTGCTCTGTTGCACAGGCTGGAGTGCGGTGGCACCATCTCAGCTCGCTGCAACCTCCGCTTCCCAGGTTCAAGCGATTCTTGTGTCTCAGCCTTCTAAGTAGCTGAGGTTACAAGTGCATGTCATGGATGCCAGGGCTAATTGTGTGTGTGTGTGTGTGTGTGTGTGTATTTTTAGTAGAGATGGGGTTTCATGATGTTGGCCAAGCTGACCTCAAGTGATCAGCCCCCCTCAGCCTCCCAAAATGCTGGGATCACAGGTGTGAGCCTCTGCACCCAGTCCCTTCCTGGGACTATTTAATAAATAGGAGCTACAGTCCTTGTGAGAGCCTAGGATAGAAAAGCATTTGCCCTAAGGTATTTGCCTATCACTTCATTCATTCTCCTTCAATCCATTTAAGTACCTCTCAAGTTCATGGCACTTTGCTAGATCTTTGCTTCCTTAGCTTGGCTTTTGAGGCCTTTTGGTAGGACTGTGAGTTCTGGAGTTAAAACGACTGGGTTTGACTTATAGCTTTGCCACTTCGTAGCTGTGGGACTTTGGGTAACTTGACATTATTGAGCTTCACTTTCTTTATCTGTAGGATGGGGATAATTGCTTTACCCACTGCTTTGAGTCATAATAAGGAGTCAATGTGATTACGCATGCAAAGTGCTTGGCCTATAGTAAGTGCTGCATAAAAGCTAGGCTGCTATTATTTATTACTCAGTCTGGCCCCACCTTGCCATTCTAATGTCCCTCCTCAGAGCCTTTCAGAATTAGCTCCCCACTCTCCTCTGTGTTCACAACGCTCATTCTTGTGTTCCTGAGTAGCTTATGCAGTTCCACCTACTCTTTATCTCTTTCTTCATTTTAGTTACTCCTAAATTTCTTCAGGGGACAGCTCTGCCCCTCCCGTCCCCTCCCCTCCCCCACAGGAAGCCCTCCTCTGTAAGTCTTCTCTCAGTGATCTTTTTTTGTCTGCGCTTTTAAGTATTTTAGAATTAGAACCCTACAGTGTAACTTGAAGTTCCTCACTTTCTATTCTGTGTGTGTGTCTGATCCCTCACCTGCTATTGATTGTAAGTTTCTTAAGGGAAGTGCTGTCTGTGTCTTCTGATTTGTCTCCCCTATAGGTGAGTACAGTCACAGGGAAGTACAGTGGAGTTTTAGAATCAGGGACATCTGAATTCCAATTCCACCTCCAAACCCTATGGCCTTAGGATAGATACCTAATCCCACTAAGACTTCTGTTTCCTCATCTGTAAAGTGGACACCTCCCCAACTCCAGAGATTTTCTGATGGTTAAATGAAACCACATAAGTAAAAGACTTAGTATTATGACTGGCACTTAAATGCACAATGCATGTTTACTAATGCTATTATTATTATTAAATTAGTTCTACAACATACTCCAAGCTAATAGATACTCGTCTAGCTGCAAGGTTATGACAAGAATGGCCCTGTCCTAGGCTGCCCATAGCCTCTGTAGCCAGTATTGCTTTGTGGTTAAGAGCACAGAGACTCCAGTGCCAGACTACCAGAGTTTGAACTCCTGCTCTGCCGCAAAGCAGTGGTATTATATACAACCTTGAGCAAATTACTCAACCTCTCTGCACATCAATTTCCACATCTAAAAACTAGGAAAACAAGAGGACCTACCTCATAGAGTTGTTATGAGAATTAAATTAAATTATCTTGTACATAGGAGTATGCTTCAGCGTGTGTTTTAATCTTATTTTAGCCCAAGCACTGGGACCACAGGCTTGTAGTTTTCTGGAATGTATTCCTCTCTAGTAGTTTATTTAGAGATGTCCAAAGTGACCAAGACTAAGAAAGCCTCCTCCAGGTTCCAAGACCTGTTGTCATATTTCAGAACTCTTCAAAAGTCAGGAGATCACCATGATCTCAGTCTGAAGTATAATAGGTTTGCATCTGGGGAAAATTCCAAAACCCACTGGGAACTGGGGATCAGTGATATGAATAAGGCAACACAATTAGATGCCAAGAGGCTGCCAGTTATATTCCCACCATCTGCTCTCCCAAATAAAAGTCAATGCTGGGGACAAAGGATGGCTGGGGGCCATCTGGAAAATGATCCACTTGGAAAATCACCTTCCCACCCCAGTTCCCAGGCTCCAGGGATAGATGGAAGGATAAAAGTGGAGAGAGCCCTTTATTTCTTGGAACTTGTGCTCTACAACCTGAACCTCAATCCTGGGGAAGTATGGTAGATAGAGTTGTGGAGTCATCACAGATTCAGCCAGAGCTGAGTTGTTTTTTTCTGGGACATCACAAATTGGTGACATTCCTCACCTTTCTTCCTCAGAGACAAAAACTGTCATAGCCCACCCACAATCACTTGAGTTCACTTTCTGTTGTTCTGTGCTCTGCCATTTCTGATCATCTTTCTCTTTTCCTGGTCAGACTTCTTTTGTTAGGTTTGTCCCCGTAGACGCCAGGCCCTGAGTAAGCTAGGAGTACCCCTGCCCAGGGAACATGGAATCCAAGGCAGCAGACATCTGCATCAATAAAACTTTAACACCACCGTGCTTCCAATTCTTCCCCTGACATTTTGCTTCAGATGGAAAATTGGAGGAAGGACTCTTGCAAATGGCCCTTTACCTTTCTACGGGTCATGTCCTGAAAGAAATATGGGCAGAAGAACAATTTACAATGAGTTCAGATGTCCACAAAGAGGTAAATTGAGCCTTTGAGGTTGCCATGACAACCCTATTTGCTTATGAAATACAATAGGTAAGTGCAGGGAAGGGAAAGTGATTCCAAGAATTCCATTAGAAAACCAGACTAGTGGTACTTAGACAAAGAAAGGAAAGCTTTGGAACAACAACAACATCATCATCTCCACTTAACTATTTTGTACTTTTAAGACATAATTGACTATCCTTGCAAATAAATACTAAAGTTTGCCAGCCTATAATTTGTCCTTATTTTAGTCTCTTCTGTCTCCCAGAAAGTTGCACAAAGAACAAAAACCAATGGCACTGCCATTGGTTAGAAGAGCCCACTGGCAGAAACTCTGATGTGCCCTGGGTAGTGAGTTACTTACAAGGCTGACTTAATTCAGAGAGACAGCATGTACTGTAGAGTAGAAATTCAGACCGTCTTGACCTCAAGTGCTGGATCTACCATTTAGTCTGTAACCCCTGGGCAAATTAGTCCCTTCAACTAGTAAAAAAGGGATAATAATATCTGCCTTGTTGGGCTGTTCTTTTTTTTTTTTTGAGACGGAGTTTCACTCTTTGTTGCCCAGGCTGGAGTGCAGTGGCGCGATCTCAGCTCACTGCAACCTCTGCCTCCCGGGTTCAAGCAATTCTCCTGTCTCAGCCTCCCGAGTAGCTGGGATTACAGGTGCCCGCCACCATGCCTGGCTAATTTTTGTATTTTTAGTAGAGACGGGGTTTCACCATGTTGGCCAGGCTGTTCTCAAACTCCTGAGCTCAGGTGATCCACCCGCCTTGGCCTCCCAAAGTTCTGGGATTACAGGCATGAGCCACCGCACCCAGCCCTTGTTGGGTTGTTCTAAGGATCACAGAGACAATAATGATGATTATGACTGTTATTATTATTATTGACTGGATCAAAAATAGACTGGAATTGGATCTGTGAGAAACCCAGAGAGGCTGTATGATTTCCATACTGAAAATATGGGAATGCAAGATGTTCTGGAGAGTGTAGAAGGCTGGTCATCCCAGACACATTCAAGCTAAATTCTGAAAATCTCTAGGGCACATCAAAACACTTTACCTTTTTTTGAGCCAGTTCATGGTCAACTTCCTCCTCTCCTAGGCCAATCTCTGCCATCTCAGGTTGGTCTTTCAGTTTGTTCAGCAGCTCTGCCTTGGCCACAGAAATATTGTAATAAGCCGAGTAAGAGGTAGGGATTCCTGGGGCCCCTGGAGGAGGCGAAAAGGGCTGAAACTCTTGTCTGTGGAAAGAAAGAATGACCATTTGAGCACCTCTGCTGAGAGATTGCTGACATTTCTGCTTTTTACTTACTCCATCTGAAAAATGGAACCCTGCTTCACCAAGGAGCTGAGAAAAATGGAGAAGGCACTGTTCAAACGTAAACAGGCCACATGAAGGCAAACTGGAGTTAAGGCAAGTTTTAAGAACTTAGAAGGCTATTTCCATGCCCCTGACTTCATCGGCTAGGGGGACTTCTTTCGAGATCATATGGTTTGGTCATTAACACTCAATTAAAATCCAGAAAAACTGGCAGGCCCTAAAAGTTCTGGACTTCTGATCACCATCCCTTTGGTGCATGGCCCCAGTATGTGGATCCCAAAGTAGGGGCTAGGTGGTAGAGAAGTATCTGAGACTTTAGCTATTGGTTCTCCAAGCCTGTTGGCCTCCGTCAGACCTACGCCTGGATCTCAACCCATCCTGGCTCTATCTAGTCTTCTTGCATACAAAGGCACCCTGTGGCTTTCCTGGACACTCGCATCATTTTCTCTTTTCCAATGCCACTCCTACTTGAAATGGACCCTCTGCTGCAGATCTCCCATAGCAAAGAGGTCACCCATGACCTCAACAGTGGCCACCATGTTGGAGGCTGTGGTTAGCACCCTGCCAGGGACTTGTCACCGCCCAGCACATATCTCATGAGCTCTTCTGACACTGCCTGCTGTAGGGCAGGCCTTCAGCCTGAAAAGGGATAGCATCTCTCCACTTCTGGCATATTCCCAATGGCTCCTGCCTCCTCCATGGTTGTAGAATGAAATGGGGAAAAAAATGGAACCAGTTGGCACCCAGGGGCTTGACAAGTGTAGCAGCAGACCCTGTTGTCTTGGGTTCACCAAAGCCTGTGGGGCTGAGGCATTGCTTCTCAGAGCCCCAGCTCATGAAATAGAACTTCTTCTCAGGAAAAAAAGTAGCTCTGGTTCCATACTGGCTTGGGTTTGGCCTCTTCTGCCATCAAAGCTTCCGGTCTGGTATGAGGAAGGAAGTAGAGAGAAATGCTACAATGTCAGGTCTCAGCGACGGAGGGGCAAATAATTTCGCCCATGGTTTATGCTAGAGAGTGGTCCACCCTCACTATATTCTCACTGCCTGCTAGCCACTCCCATCCTCCACCTGTTTGTGTCACTACCCCTTCACTAACCTCTAGCTGTTTGAAAGGGAAAATAGGAGAAACTCATTAGTCATTTTTGCAGCTATTTGCAATTCTTAGATAAAGGTCAAAAATAATGGTTAAAAGGCTCCACAGCTATTTACTGATTCATGTTATGCTGTCTCCTAATTCATCACACAAAAGAAAGTTTGGCACACCAATATTCTTTATCCTAGGTAAATTCATTTATATGTAAGTTTCAAGCTTGTAACATTGATAAAAGAACAATACTAGTTAACATGCACACCATACTTACCATGCCCCAGAAACCATCCTAAGATAGATACACACACACACAGGTATATAAATATACAATTGAATGTTCATGAAAACCATTATACAGATAAGGAACATGAGGCAACAAGAGGTAAAGTGACTTCCCCAAGGTCACCAGACATTAAATGACAGACCTGCAATTTGCACCTGGACAACCCGACTCTAGAATCTGTGCTTCAAGCCACTATGCCATCCTGCCAAAGGGACAACTTGAGATCATATAAAAGCCTACATGTAAGGAATGTTCTGGCTGGAGTATATCTATGTTAGCAGATAATAGAGAATATTCTGGAGGGAATATGAAGGTCTGAACTTAGGGAATTCCTATCTACAAGAAAAATATCTAGGGTGCGTGTGAAAGTTCTGTGTCAGAAGGTGTTATAAAGGAAAAAAAAGGATGTGCTACTTGGAGACTCAGTTCCCCAGCATAAACATCCCTGCATCATATTATAGTATATCATATTAGGCACTATGTTCTAGGGATCCTTTCCTTATCACTTCCATTAACAGGGAAGGGATTATAGGTGATCTATGAGAACATAATTGGAATTTGATAGTAAACATCAAAGCAAAAATCGGATTCCTTTCACAGGGCACTGAGAGGAAATGCATAGAGTCCATAAAGCAAGCTATACCTATACCTGAATCAGAGTTATTAGACTTAAATAATACTTGATTATTCCACTAACTGGCTTCTGTGTGTACCCAGCATTTTTTAATAGAATAGTATATAGGTTATATAGGTACTAGAGTTTAACTTGGCTGAAATTAGGATGTCTTTGTTTGCATTTTAGATTCAAAATATTATGCATCTATATGTCCCTTACAAAATCTTAAAGCTGCTTCTTTCTGGCTAGGACACTGTCCTCTCCTAGGGTCTGGAACAGAATCTTCTTCAAGAGCCCAGAGATCCTGGGATGATACAGCAAGCATAGTGAGCTACCTGAGATCTTGTGATAAAGTTACTTTATCTCCCTAGGCCTCACCTTTCTCATCTAAGAAATGGAGAAGATGAATGGTAACTATTTCACAGGTTTACTTTGATGATTAAATCAATTAATACACGAAGTGCTTAGAACAATGCATGGCACATAGTAAGCAATCAAAAAAATATTAGCTATGTTGGGAATGATGCTGTTCCTTAAATTTCCGTCACTCAAAGGAGCATCTAATTGATTTTGTAGCCACAAGCAGAGCTGTGTGCAAACAAATGTTTTCCCTTACATCCCATAGTCATTTAAAATAAATCTCTGGAGCAAGTTACAAGATCTCTAGTAATAGTGATTTCTTTCTGTCTGACCAAGGTACTAAGGCAAAGTGAGCTACATAAAGAAGGAAGAACCAGGGCCTGTAACTGCTGCCTCTGGTACACCTTGCCCTACACTAGAGAAGAGGACCCTGTGACTCTGGCCTATGGGAAGAACAAGATCTCTCTGCGAGAGGCTGCCTAGGAAGGCAAAGTAAGCATTGGCTTTGGAGTCAGACAGCCCTGGCTTTGAATCTTTGCTGTGTAACTTGGAATTAGTTTCCTCATCTGTCAAATGGGGATAATAATGGCTAATAGGGCTATTGGGAGGATTAAATGAAATAATGGACACATAACATCTAGCAGTATCTGGTATATAATAAATACTTAATAAATGTTCATCCATTCATTTATTTGTTCTGTCTTCTTAAATATTTGTTAAGTGCCTACTATTTGGAGGTCATTTTCCCTTTTCCCTGCTATGATAGATAACAATCACAGGTATTTTTCACAAAATGTTTTCTAATTACAATGAGAATGCTCCCCAGGTAGAAGAACAGCTTGAGAAGCAGCCACACGGGATCTAAGGACGGATTCTTACAGTGCCTGGGAGCCAGGCCCTGTAAATGCTGTGCTTATGGCATCTTGGGCTGGAAAACTGATCAACTAGCTCCAGATAGCCAATTCACAGATTTGTCTGTCAATAAAAGACATGATAACAAGGTACTTCTAACCACAACAAGTCTCAGGCAAATTCCTGCTATAAAGAGAGTTAAAGAAAGCACTCATAAGCCACCTGCCTCCCGAACCTCAGCCCTAGCAGAGAGTGGGCTGAGCTCTCCACAGGAGAGCAGGCGGAGCCGGTGACAGCCAGAGCGCTGAGCAATAATAGCAATGATGGTCCTGGAGCTTTTGCTTTGGAGCAAAATAAATTTTTAAAAAAACCAGTCATGCACTATAGGGCATGCAGATGACAACTGGCTCAGTGGAGTGAACAAACACTGGCAGTTCTGCTGCCAGAACACACTTTTGCTTTGGCCTCCCTGCCCAGGCAGCTCACCCTGTCAAATACCACCTATTACCCACCCACGTGAATGCAAAGAGGCAGGTAAACAAGGAGGGGGAGAAAGTGGAAGAGAAAAAGAACGTCCTTAACTATTGTAAGGAATTATCAAGGCATAAAGCACCCAGTCCCAGGAATACCTGTGATGCTGGCGGTTGTTGGGGGAAGAGTTTAGAAGCCCAGGCTACTTGTCCTAGAGCAGAGGCAGGTCAGGTTGTGAGCTGGCCTCTTATTCTGGAGGGCAGTCAGAAGAGAAGACAGAAAAAATGCCCAAGCCAGGTTTCTGGGAAAGACCTAGTACAGGCAACAAGTGTTCAATGCCTTTGGGATCAGGGGCCAGAAATTGATGGTGATGGATACCGTGAAGACACACTAAGGAAAAGTACAGTATTTTAATAAAGATATTTAGGGATAAGAACATGATATTTACTGAGTATCTACTATGTGCTAAGCATGGAGCTATATCCTTTATGTAGATTATCTTAATATTCACAACAATCATGTGATGCAAGTATCATTATACCCATTTTCCAGGTAATAAAACTGAGGCTGGGAGCAGTTTAATTGGCCAGCCTGAGGTCATCCAGTTAGGAAATGGTGGAGGTAAAATTCAAACTTGTGTTGCCTGCCTCTTCAGGGGCCTCGTATCTTTCATATGTACTTACTTGGCGGATTCAGCGGCTTCCTGTTTCGATGTCCTCCAAAGCCCACCAATGCCATAGTAGCAAGGGGGCTGAGCCTGCTCAGGTTGAGATCCCAAGTGACCCCTTATTGGAGGCAGGAAGTCACTGGAATGGAGTGCAAAGGATTCTTGCTCTGCTGGGACACTTTGTGAACCCTGTCCCGAGCCCTCCAGGTGGCCAAGGCTGAGGGGTTGTGGCTGCTCCAGGACCTCCTCGGGATTGAGAGCACAGGAACCAGAGGTTTCTGAACTGAAATACTGGGGTGGCAGCTCCTCTTCCTCCTCCTCTGCCTCCTCCTCCTCCTCTTCCTCTTCTTCTTCTTCTTCTTCCTCCTCCTCCTCCTCCTCTTCTTGTTGCTTCTGCTGCTGCTGTTGCTGCTGCTGTTGCTGCTTTTGCTGCTGGGCTGCACGAAAGAGCCTGTACTTCTCCCAGTTGGGAGGAGGAGGGCGAGGAGGAGGAAAGGCCTTCTTCCTGGCTCCGAGAAGATCTGACTGGGTCTCATCGCCTTTGCTAAAGAGCTCCCTCCTATGCTGCCCCCAGGCCCGGGTGCTTTGGGGATCCAAGCTGATGTGACTCTCTGAGAAGGCACGGCTGCGCAGTGGGTGGGGCATGGAGGCAAGGGAGCTCCCCTCCTCATAAACTGAAGTTTCCTCTGATTTTTTCAAAGCATGTTTGAAGTCTCCAAGGAGGTCAAGAGAAGAAATTGCTCGGTAGCTTGACAAGTCCAGTGCTGGGTTCTCAAGGCAAGGATGGAAAGGGGTTGCCCGTGAAAAGCTATTCTTGGAATGAGCCATTTCCCTGCAAAACATCAGATGAGTACTGAGAAAAACAAGCAAGTTGCAGATAGGCCCATAGTTTGGATGACAACATTTATATAAAATTTAAAATGTCCACAAAACAATGTAGTATGTGTAGTAAATGTGATAATAATAGTAATAATAATGATAGCTAACACTTACTGAGCATATACTAAATACTAGGCACTGTTTAAGTGTTTTCCATGTCTTCACTTATCTAATCCTTACAATAACCCTAGGAGGTAGCTATTACCATTGCACTGATTTTACAGTTGGGGAAATTGAGGCATAGAGCATTTAAGTAACTTGCCTGGGGTCATAAAGCTAGTACATGGTAGAGCTTGGATTTGAACTTGAACAGTTTGCTCCAAAGTCTGGATATACACACACTACCCCAGTCTGTTTATAGGAGTCAGATTGCATATGCTGTTTTCTGGGGCGTACAAGCCTGGTTATCCTGCCTCATCTGTTGTTTTTGTTTGTTTTTCATTATAAAAATTTCGAATATTTGGCCGGGCGCGGTGGCTCACCACTGTAATCCCAGCACTTTGAGAGGCCGAGGTGGGCGAATCACTAGGTCAGGAGATCGAGACCATCATGTCTAACAAGGTGAAACCCCATCTCTACTAAAAATACAAAAATTAGCCGGGCGTGGTGGCGGGCGCCTGTAGTCCCAGCTACTCGGGAAGCTGAGGCAGGAGAAAGGCGTGAATCCGGGAGGTGGAGCTTGCAGTGAGCTGAGATCGCGCCACTGTACTCCAGCCTGGATGACAGAGCAAGACTCCGTCTCAAAAAAAAAAAAAAAAAAAAATTTCGAATATTTAGAAATGTACAGAGATTGATTGCTATAATACCCATGTTTCTACCTATCACCCAGACTTAGTAAGTTTGAACACCTTGCCATTTATGTTTCATGAATTTTTCTTAAGAAATAAGAAATAATACCTACCCTTCACATAACTCTCCACTTCCATTCCCCTACTGTCTCTCTAGATGCAACCTGTATTATGAATTAGATATATACACTTTCCATGTTTTTATACTTGTAACAAAAAACACCAAACAGGTCATTCATAGTTATCTGCTATTTTGGATTTAAAATATCTCCTTCTGTCCAGACACAGTGGCTTATGCCTATAATCCCAGCACTTTGAGAGGCTGAGGTGGGTGGATCACTTGTGTCTAGGAGTTCAAGACTGCCCTGGGCAACATAGCAAGACCCTGTCTCTAATTTTTTTTTTTCTTGTAATTAGCTGGGCATGATGGTGTGTGCCTCTAGTCCCAGCTACACAGGAGGCTGAGATGGGAAGACAGCTTGAGCCTGGGAGGTTGAGGCTACAGTGAGCCATCATTGCACCACTGTACTCCAGCTGGGGTGACAGAGTAAGATCTTGTCTCAAACAATAACAACAACAAAAAACTCCTTCTAATGTAATTCCAATCAGAATTCTCAATAGGAATTTTTAAACTACATTTGACTACAGAATTTTTAGAAAATTAACTTGTAATGAAAGCAGGATATAATATTAAAGAGTATTCTGCTACAGAAGAAATGGGGGAGGGGGTAAGTAAGGGATAAAGTATATTATAAAATAATTGTAATTAAAACAGTGTGTTATTGATCAACAAAACAGAATAGAAAGTTCAGAAACAAAGCAGACTACCTATAAAAATGTCATATACATAATCTTCCCCCAAAAAGGAGATAAGAAATATTACTTAATAAATCTTTTTGAGATAACTGCAAAGCAGTGCTTTTTTGAGCTACATCATATATTATATACCAAAATAAATTCCAGATCAAGAGTCATGGATATGTGTGTGTGTGTGTGTATATATAATTTTAATATATTATATATGTTATATGTGTATATATTATACACATACATAACATAAGAAAAATCTATCAGAAAATTAAAAAGACTATCATTTGAAGTGAAATAAGATTCTCATAAGCAATAGAAGAAAATCTCCAAATAAGTCCAGGTTTATTGGAATATACATAAAAATTCAAACTTCTGTATAATAAAGACTGACTAAAGTTAAAAGACATCTCTTTAGTCTCAGAGTATAAAGAGTTAAGCCCTCTAAGCCACAAGATCTGGTTTCCTGCTGTAGCCTGTGAGCAATCAGCATCATGCTAAGTCCTGCCCAGTGACAGGAAATTCCAGGGGTTCAATTAAATCATCATACAGAATGTCCATTCAATAATCATGATGAAGATTGGAAATATTTCTTTAAAAAATAAGAATACACATAATGATAGCCAAACTCACACAGAATGGAAGGCAAAATGTCCTTGATTCTCCTCTTATCCCGCCCCCATTCTGGTCAGCTCACCACTCATGTGGATCAGAAATTCATATCCAGACATACCCACTATTTTCTTATTTGGGCCTTTGCAAACCTATAGATCATTAAGATTGTAACAATCCCTTTTGTGCAAACTGTTCCACCTGGCATATTCTCTCTCTCTCTCTCTCTCTGACACACACACACACACACACACACAAAGGTGATGGACAAATGGAAAGTAAAAAAATGACAAACGTGTATCGGGCAGAGAAGCCTTTCCTGACTAGTTTATCAAAAATACAGGCAACTTATATTTAATTATCCTTATTCTACTTCATTTTTTGAGTATTCATCTTCATCCCCACCTAATATCATATCACATACCTATTTTTACTTGATTATTTTCTGTTCCAATCTCTAACTAAAATGTAAGCTCCATGAGGGCAGGATCTTGTCTGTCTCATTCATAGGTTTCTAGTGCCTGGCTCACAGTAGGTGTTCAATAAATATGTTTAACAAAGGAATTATGGTCAAAATTAAAGAAAAAATAAATTATGATACCCATTTAATACATAAGTTGAATTAAAGGCAAAATACAACAAATAAGACAAAGAAGGGCACTATAATGTTAACAACTAGAACACATGATGAAGATCTACCTCCTCTGATCTTTTATGCACCAAAAAACATAGCATAAAAATTCTTAAAGCAAAATCTACAGGAAATGCAAAGGTAGAAAACAAGTAGAAACAAAATGAGACTGTTTCAGCTGATGACAGATCATGACAGTCAAAAACTAAGATAATGAGAAAGTCTAAATTTCTTCATATACTGAAACAGACTATATTTTTTTAATCAAGGGTCCATTGAGTATATTTTTAATTGGCTATATACTGAGCCAGAAAATGGAAGTAGTACAGACCATATTTTCTAATGACAATATGGTAACACTAGAAATTAATAACAAAATGAAAATTAAAATCTTTAGCATGTAGAGAATAAAGAGGGAAAAAATTCTTCCACTTTAGTCAAAGAGAAAATCTAATTTGAAATTGTTGAATACCTAGAAAATGACAACAATGGAAATATCAGAAGCTAGAGGATATGGTTGACTAAAGCAGTAGTTAAAGAAAAGCTTGTAGACCTGGTGTGGCAGCTCACTCCTGTAATCCCAGCACTTTGGGAGGCTGAGGCGGGTGGATCACTTGAGGCCAGGAGTTCCAGACCAGGCTGTCCAACATGATAAAACCCTGTCTCCACTAAGAATAGAAAAATTAGCTAGATGTAGTGGCATGCGCTTGTAATCCCAGCTACTCGGGAGGCTGAGGCAGGGGAATTGCTTGAACCTGGGAGGCGGAGGCTGCAGTGAACTGAGATCGCGCCAATGTACTCCAGTGCTCCAGCCGGGTTGACAGAGTGAGACTCTGTCTCAAAAAAAAAAAAAAAAAAAGAAAAGAGAAACTTGTAGCCTTAAATACTTATATTAGTATGTAAGAACGAATTAAAATAAATGAATTAAGCATTTAACAAAAGAAGAAAAGAATCATAAAAATAAACCTAAAACAAAGCAGAAAGATAATAAAACTAATTGCAGAAATTAATATACTAGAAAACAAATGATAGAATAATTAAAGCCAAAACCATTTCCTGAAAAGAAAATAAAAAACAATGAAACAGGTTAACCACTTGCTAATCTAATTTAAAAAACACCCAAATGCACAAAATTAGAAATTGAGAAATAACCACAGTTACAGAGTAAATGAAAAGGGTAAGAAAATACTTTGTTGTATCCCATAAAACAAATTTGAAAACTTAAGGTATTTCTCTACAAAACAAATATTACCAAAACTGATTGCAGAAAAATGAGAATATATAAACCCACCAGTTACCATAGGGAAAAAAAGTATAAATTTGACCAAAAAATAGCTCAATCACACAGTCTTGTGTTAATTCTACCAACCTTCAAGGAAAAAAATCAAACCAATGTTATTTACACTTTCTAGAATCTGGAAATCTAGAGAATAGAGAGAGAAGAAAAGATTCTTGCATTACATTGATACTAAAACCCAGCAAACAGAACAGAAAAGCAAACTAGAGACCAATCTCATCTGAGAATACAGATGCAAAAATCTTAAATAAAATATTAGCAAACAGAATCTAAGAGGATGTTAAGAAATATAATACACCATGATCAAGTGGGGTTCATCCTAGAAATGTAAGACTGGTTCAGTAATAAAAAATCTACTGATATAATTGACAACATTAATAAATCAAAGGATAAAAGGTACATAACAATTTCCCTAATGCTAAAATGTATTTGATAGCAATTCAACATCATTTCCAGATTAAAAAAAAACCTAACAGAAAAAGATGTCTATTTCCATAATACCATCATTATCATCAGACTTTTTTTTTAAGTCAAAAGTCAATATTGTGCTTAATGGCAAAACACTAGAGGTATACCCACTAAAAACAAGAACAAGCCAAAGGTGCCCACTTTCCCCACTAATATTTAATACTGTTCTGAAAGCAATAGTGCAATTTGACAAAATAAAGATGTACACATTGGAAGAAGGGTATATCTTCTCATTATGTATAGATGACACAATTATTTATCTGGAAAATTCATCAGAAACTTTTTTTTTGAGACAGAGTCCAGCTCTGTCACCTAGGCTGGAGTGCAGTGGCATGATCTCCGCTCACTGC